CAATTAATAATTGTGAAGAATAAAATCATATGGGAAAGATTGAAAAATGTGAATGAATAGAATTCTATAACGCTATACTAAGTTCAATACCCTGTCGATGAGAAAAAAGCAGTTACAAACCAAATCATTTCATTCGAGAACACCCAAACTGCTCATGAAAAAATAAAAATTATGCAAATTTCAGATGAATACGGACTATTTTAGGTATATACATCTCGTCCGTAAGGAAGACCGTGTGAAAATGAATTTCCATGAAACATACAAAGAGAAAGAAGTTAGATCTTTCTTCGATTTCAATCGGATATATACGAATTGTCTACTTTTATCATACACTTCGCATTTGCGAATCCTTCGAACATGAAAATTATTGAGTAGCATAAAACTTGGATCTAGCAATGTGCATTTACGAAATTCGTAAGATAGTCTCAATTCGTAATATTAAATTCGTAATAAAATTTTCTGTTTCTCCATCCCTTTAAAAAGCTAAGCGCGTACTAACACCAAATCATCGCTAAAAATCCATTTTCAGTCAAGGGTCAGTGAATCGAAGACGAACGATACTTGTATTTAGACATTTAAAGCTTTGGACACTTGGACGATTCGTCTTTCAGCGAGTTAGACTTTCAGATATTTAGTCATTTATACTGTTAAACTTTTAAATATTTATACTTAGACTTTTAGAGATTTCGATATTTAGCCATTTGGACTTGTATACATGTACACTTTTGGACACATAGACGTTTAGACTTTTAGCGACTTACAGTTTTAAACATCTATACTTTTATACTTTCGGATATTTAGACATTGAGACATTTACACTTTTGGATTTCAGATATTTAGACGCATAGATGTTTAGACAAATAATGTGCACCCATGCTTCTCGAATAATGCCTTAACGAAAAAGCAGCTAGATGAAGGTCGACCTTTTTAGTGACTAGGGCTCGTTTTTTCTTCTTGTTTCCAATCGAACCCATATGATGTGTTGAACACTAGAAACGATTAGTCGTAAGAAAATATCACGAGAAATTTTCTCTCTTCAGAGTACTTGAGTTAAATTATGTACCGTTTATGGTAAGGTTTTTACTGCTTATAAATATTTTCTATCATGTTCTGGGTGTGCCATAGTTGGTTTCTGTGTGCTTGCGCATAAACCAACCACAACTCGATTCTTTCGGGCGATCAAGTAATGAAAAATATGAGAATATCTGTGCAGTTTCCGTAAGCATTTACTAAATCCCACTACGGCCGAAACGATATGCTCTTTGGTAAAACTAACGCAAAAAACGCGTTAGTACCAAACAATGGACCCGCTAAACGCGTTGGGAAGTAACGTATCTTAACGCATTCCTTTTCTCTAACGCGTCAGAACGCGTTGGATTTAAATGCGTTTCGATGCGTTTCCAGCACACTAACGCGTTTCAACGCGCGTTGACTCAAAAAAAGGATTTTCTGGGATCTCTTTGCATTGACCAAACGGAAGAGGCAGTCTCCTGTCAAGGACTATAATATCCACCCACCTCTCATGAAAGCGGCATTGTATCACTACAATTGTGAACATTATGTCACAACACCAGTTTATCGATTCTCTGTCCAAACCGAACTATGATAATCGTCAGTTATTAACTGTGAAACGAGGTAGTGAGTCAATTAGCATTGCGGTTCGTGTTGATCAGCTCATCGATTGTCTATTGCTATATGGTTTCCGTGCAGACAGTGGTGTACATTTGCTCGTCCTGATTGGAGATGTTCTTATACGCGGACCGGATTTCGCAGATCCCCATTTGAAGAATCCCGTGCACACAGCCTTGCTCGAGGGGCAAGCAAATCTCTCTTTGAAGGAGTCTATGAAAGTTCAAAACTTTTGAAAGCAGCTAAGCTACTCGACAATCGCATCGAAAATTATCATCGTGCAACATATCTCAAACAGGCTACAAAGTTTGTGTATTCAATTAAGAGTAGTAGAGCTCACATTTTTCTATTCACTAACACAAACCACGAAGTTTTATGTCTTTTTGGGTATTAATTGAAGTGTACATCGAAACTCGCGTCAATTCTAGAGCGCTTGAGCTTACACTCATTGAACAATTAATTGTGTAATGACTACCCCTATGTGTATTTCAAAGAGCTTACCACCGAATGTTTGTCCGACAAATAACGAATAAATTCTTCAGAATCAAAATAATGATCACTAGGCACAAGAACGTCAAGCAGTGCCAGTTGATCAACTTCACTAGTCAAAATTTCCACTCGTTGACAAAGATATATGCCGACAGGAGTTTTAGCGCGTCGTATTTGACTGAGATCGATTGTTTGGTTTGAGGATAAATTTGACACAGTTATCGGATCTTCATCCATCCCGAATGCGCTCAGGAGATCTTCAAGAGCGTAGATCCGTTCACTTAGACTCTCAATCTATCCGCCATTTGGTTCAACATCGTTCTCTCAGAAGACACAAAAAGAAAATTTAGAAGTATCTTTACTGACAGTAAGGTAAGGAAACAAAAAAATTATGAAAGTTGTGAAACAGCTGGTCAGCAGGAATAATGTAGGCTAAAGTTCTCTCTTCATGAGCTGAATGTTATAATGATAATGTCCCAACATCCATAATAGTCACCATCAATATAGAGACACAACATGGACTGCAGAAGAAGATGATAATCATACGACTTGGTTGTACAACATTACCCTTCTGGTCGATCAACGAGAATGTCGGCTGCTTCTTAACTCGATCATAGCCAGTCAGTCGTACCTTGTTACAACCATTTTGTTCTGTTCGGGATTGGACACATTGAAATGCAACATCAACATCACCTGCTTTCAATTGATCTGATGTTACACGGATGCCATCACCATTTGTCAATGGTACACTTGCACCAACTGTATTAGGATTATTCTTCGGTGAACTAACAAAGGTTTTTGACTGATCAATTTTGAGACCAAACAAAGGTGCCTGTTGAATCAGTTGATCAGTTAGTTTTTGACCAACACCATCGTCAGCATACACACACGTAATGAGCAAGAGGACGATGCCTGCTCAATACATTTCAGGCTTTAAAACGAACAAAGAGATGGTGTGATATTCCTTTTACTGTTAACAAATATGCACTTACTTGCTCGTCTGCTTTACTTGTGATCGAAAATTAGTACTACACCTGTACACTAAGAGAAATCCTTTTCTTATGCTCTTCTTTTTTGTCTTAGTACAAAAAAATATATGAAATCTATCCAGCTGTGACCATCATATGACAACAGTTTATAAGGAGAGCTATAGCTAAAAAGGGAATAGGAAAACATTTTTCTATTTGTTGATACCTCTTTGCAAATACACATATATCAACTAATCGTTGACAGAAATTGAAAGTGTGCTGAGGCGTGACTTTTTCCGCGATAAACACACACTGAGTTGCGTCTAGAAGGGATGTTTAATCATATCTGTACATGCTAGAAAAGCAATCGACGGTTCGATCCAAATAAGGAAAAAATAATGTTTTATAGGCTCACACTCATAAACGAATTTTTGTTACAGTTATTTAGTGGGTAGATGAGATTTGCGTGCATTAGATAGAAGCTAAAAAGATGGAACAGACTCGAGCACCAGAGCACAGCAGCAATGTGTTTGTGATTGCAGAACGGCTATATACATTCATGTGTTCTAAAGAAATCAGTTCTTCTCAGTCCTACAATGTTTCCAAGTCTTTTGCTATTAGAACCTCCATTGCATCGTGAAACCTACAAACCTCTGTGGTCCCTATTTCTTTTGATTATAATTTGCAGTTCGAAAATTCCATACGAAGGCAAGAAATTCCATTTCTTAATTTATCCAGACTAGATCGTGCAAAAGCAAACTTTTCTTTTTCCATATTTTACTGCACACGGTTGCTATAATTTTTGTTAATAGCCAGAGCAGGAAATGACCAAAACACAGAAAATGCCCTAAATAATATTTTTTCGTCGTCAAACTATTTCCAATCAATTTTCAGTCAAGATTAAGTATAGGAAAACCTTTTTCTCCTCCAATACATTTTTTCCTATGAGAAAATCAAACAAAACGGACTGACGTGAGCGACTACACAGAACTTGTAACTTTTATAGCAGACATCTTCGTTTTATTTTATTTTTTAGATATTGCTTGCCCCGAGGAAAATGATGTAATTACTGTAGAAACTGATTTATTAATACGTAAGTGATTGAATTTGTCCGTTTAGTATTTAGACTTCTTCACCGTTCTGTATTGAGAAAGTTAAAAATTGTTATTGCTTAGTTGCAGTAAGATTTGTCTCGAAAATTGTGCGGCACA